ACCCTATTGTGTTTGTTTTTGCTTTTGTCGTGTACTCGGAACGTGTTTATACATTATAAACAGCTTTTGACAACATTTAGCTTATTATTTTCCGTCAGCACATGTCAAAGTGCATAATATTTGCTGTAGTGTAATAATTATCTGAAAAAATTCAGTGGCGTACAATAAAAAACTTTATATTTCAAAGACATATTGTATCCAATTGTAGTGAATATTCAAATCGGTTAGTTGAATATGTTGGACAAAACCAGTTTTGTCGTATCAATTTTAAATACCTATGCCGTATGCTTAGCATTGCAGGTGGGCTGAAATATAATAACCTATGATTTAGCGATAAAACCGATTAGCGCGTTAATTCTTTTTTACATTTATTGAATTCTTTCCAAGAATGCATTTATAACTATATTATTAGTTAATGGAGCGATATTCCGTAGAAACTCTAAATTGCTATTCAAATGAAATGTAATTTAGACCCCCCCCTCCCCAAAAAAAATAGTAATAAAACTTACCAGTATCATGAATAACGATCAACATAATAGTTGCTTTATACGTGTATAATTTTGGTCTCCAGAGTGTGGAAGTAAACAACTCAAGACGTGGCTATTCATTTGTTGTTTCGAGTGTATAAGTTACGACCTTTTATATTATAATTAGTTACTGTTTTATAGTAAAGGATGGGCTGTCACGCGGGAATACGAATCCGCAACAGTTCTACAAAACTAAGAGAACAATTTTATAACGTTTGCAGACTTTTCGCGGTGAAAATATTGCGGGAAAAAACTATCTTGGCAGTTGCGACGACGTTTTCATTTTTATTATTCAGGGCGGATTCTTCGAATTAAATTAAAATTGTACACAAAATGATATTAATATTGTCACGTCGACAATAATAATATAGGTAGCTGTTTATTTCGTAAGTACGGGTTATGAAGCGTAACGACAACAACTTTGAACCGTGTATCGGTAAATAATTAATGGAACACAAATATTTTGAGCTCTACAACATTATGATGTATTATACTATTATATTCAACAAAATAACAACCCAGCTGACACGAACGGATGACCCGGATCGTGTGCCCTACTTGCTTGCCAGCACTATAAGAAAATAAAATTACAGCACTCGGAGCGCACACTGCACTCACTTAAAACTTTTGTCAAAGCGCCCAAAAATTAGAAGGATGCCCGTCTTTTATACATGTACACAGTGTTCGTTGAAGTATATAACTTACACATTATACATATGTTAGTTCTCTTATAATTGAAAAGCAAACGCGGCGCATGTTTGCCGCGCATTTAACAAGCGCCTACTCGCCGGTTTCCGTTAAAATTCGTTATGTATGCAAAACCACTTTAGGGCACGATGAAACGGGTCTAACAATAATATGATATGTTTGATGTTACGAAATCAAAATGCACACGGTGTGCGAATAGTAAATGCGCTTGGTTGAAATACGAATTGAATAAAAGCCTAACTGCGTATAGTAATAAAAAAAAAAAAATAAATAAAAACCGCTTCAAAAAAACCCATGGTAAGAGAATAAAATAATAGTAAAAAAAATCACTACTGTCATATCACAATAAATGAGTTAACGGTACTAAACGTGTTTCTCCGAAAAAAAATAACTGAGTTTTGTAAAATAAAATTTACACACTACCAGTCCTGTTTCAGAGAAAAAATATGTAAGCCTTGGCGGCCTCCCAGCTCGAAAACGAATATTATGTAAGCATATGATTGTTCTCATAACATATGAAAACTACTAAAAATTTACCATGCTACATAATATGATCGTCATATTATATTAAAAATCACAACAAAATAATAATTATAAGCAAAAAAAAATGCAAAAATTTTTCGGGCTCGTCCGGGATTTGAACCCGGGACCTCTCGCACCCTAAGCGAAAATCATACCCCTAGACCAACGAACCGCTATGAATATAATGATGATATTGATACCATTTAAATTACATTATAATGCAAATAGTATTTATATCATCCGTGTTTGTGTTGGTCTTCCGCAGTTTTAACATTATGTGTAGGTACTAAAATAAGTACGAAAAAGTTAAAAGAAATATTTTTTTTTCGGTTTTTATGTTTTGATATTTTTCATTATTTATTTAGTCAGCTTTTATAAAAATAACTCTCGTAAAGTGTTTTATTTCACATAGTTGTCGCCTCGGGACCAAGAAACTATATTATATATTATATTTTTTTTATTACCAATGGCCTGGTAAAATATGAATTCACAATGGACGAGTTGTGCCTCTGACAGAAACGGGCGACAATATGATCAAAGTTAAATTTTTGCGAATAGCTATGGGCGTCGTTATGAACTTTTCTACAAATATTTCCCCTTGTACTTATTTTCCGTATTAATTCTATGCACTGGAAGACTTCACGGTTTCGCGAGTTCGCCCAAAGCCATTCAGAAACCTAAATGTAAGAAGAGAATGAAACATTTTTTTATAAAATGTAAATGGTTTGTAAAAGATTGGAGTATATTTAACGGATTTTATACACAGCAGTGACAGCACAACACCGCATATTATGCACATCATTTTTCTAATTGTAATAGCCTGCAAAATGTATGCTATATAATAATAATATCAATATATGTATATATATATATATGATATATATGTATGATAACATGGGGTTTTTGTAAGCAAACGATGGCATAATAGGACATTACGGATCTATCTGTGAAAATTATGATGGTAAAAGCAATACAATTTTAATTAACTACTAAAGTATCCAATAAAAAAAAGGGTACGTTGCTTAACTAATAGTGTGCTGTATGATTATTAAGTGTAAAAATATACTTATATAAAATAAAAGATTACAATAATTTTTAAAAAAATTATACATTTTATAAAACATTTTTTTTTATGATGTGGTGGTTTAGATGAAGGTGAAGATGAAGACGGAATAAATTTAGAACGTTTGATGGAGGCTATGTCTAATGGCTACATACACAGATGGACTAAACAGGTATAATGATATAAATAAATATGTATTCTGAAAATTCACTTAGTTTAAACCGTATTTTGAATAAATATTTATATACATTTTTGTTTTTAATATAATATAATATTAAATAAATGTATACGATTTATGACAGTTATAATGTTTTTCACTTAAGATATTTTACTGAACAAAAAAGTTTTATATCAATCACGTATATTATTATTCAGGCAATGTATACTGAATTTTTCGAAATAATCCCAAAAGAAGAAAATAGGAAATATATTATTCTCAACAACATGAAACAATATTATGGAAAAAGTATTCCTGAACGTAAACTAATAGATATTATAAGAGAGTATGGATTTTTGGAAGGTAAAATATATGATGTTTAATATCTACATTTAATAATCGTACAAATAGTCTACACATAGACATCTGACAATATTTTGATTTAATATTATTGTATTCCTTTTTTATTTGGTTTATTATAACTAATCTAACCTACCCCGACCCATCATAACTTTTCGACCCAAATAAATGTATTTTTGTACTGGAACATTACTAATGGTACTAGGTAGTGTAGGATATTCATTGTCTATGTACTTACATGTGATTTTATTTAAATGAAATCAATTTCGTAGGATGAATATATAAATTATCAACAGCAAAGCAATAAAAAAAGTTGTAGAACAAGAAATTAGATATAAATAAATAACTATTATTATCCCCAAATCAACAATTTTTTTTTTAAATGTAATGAAACGAATTTATAATTTCTATAATTTTTTTTTTTAATTTATACGATATTCAGATAAAGAACACCGTTTATACATAGATAAATTTAGAAGAGTCCTGAACATTAGTCTACTTCCAGAACCGTCGTGCGATAAAAGTGAATCTCTGGAGGTAATACATTTTCCTGTTTAAATTTGTTTTTAAACTACTTTTGTATGAGTTAAAATAAAATTATTCAGGCCATGTTCGATGTATATTGGCGATTGACCGAAGATGAAGAACGAACCGTACTTACTAAAAGTATATTAATCAAAGATTATGCATCTCAAATCGATAGAGTTTTTGAAAAATACGGAGACGTTCATGGTGAATATAATTTTGAACAACTTAATTTTTCAATCGTGATTTGATATTAAACATACGCATAGTTTTAACTAGGATGATTAAGGTTCATCAATATATTAGTTTTATTATTTGAAGCAAGGCTAACCTATCCAACGGAACCGAACAAATGTCGCTTTTTGGGCAATGTTGTAAAATAATAAAACATTTTTGCAATAACTTTACATTGTTTTATTGATAATTTAATTACTTTATTTATGTTTTGTTGGTGATTTGTAGATAAGTATAGTGAACGCATATTATACTTCCATGGTTTTCGAAAAGCCGTAATCAGTGGTAACCTTCCAGTGCCCATGAATACATTAATTGAAACTCCGGTGGTAATTAATGTTACTATTCAAATTTGTTTTGGATAAATGTATGTCTTAAAATTAATTTTCTAGGTAACACCCAAACGAAGTCTCAGAAGTCAAACTATTGCTCAATTACAAATCGAAAATGAAAATTTAAAAAAACAGATATTGGATCTACAAGCGAGTAGTTCACGATGCATAAGCGTTTAGTCGCCAAAATAATAATAAACAATATACCTACTAATTATAATGACTATTATAATTATTGTTTTAATAAAAATACAATTTTACCGAAATAATATTTGTTACTGTTTTTTATAAGACCCATGCTAAATGTAGCAATTCTTAGTATCAGAAATCGTACCAGAAAGGTACTTTATAAGGGTTTGTAAAGAGCCAAAGTAGTTCCAACCGTTCTTGTGTGGCATATTTTTGTTTTTTTTACTGTACTTTTTGAAATTAAGGTCAGAAAGTTGGACTAATGACATAGCTAGGCCCGCAATAACACATTATAGACTGTTTTAAAAAAATGAGCCTGCCGCAGCTGAAAATGGGTCCATGTTTATTTTGGTAGGTGATGTAAATCAGAATTGTCCGCTCACCTCTTTTTTCCATTCCTCATCTGACGTCCGTCCTTTTGATAAGAACACTAATATTGAACGAAATCGACAAACAATGTTTACTTTGTACGATACGATAATATTATTATGTTGTTTTTTGATAGCTGTTGACGATTATCGGCAGACTGCTTGACCTGCAAAATAGAAAAAAAAAATATTATTTGACTGACCAAGTATAACGGTCACGATGATTATTTTTGGACGGATCAAAATAAAAAAAAATAAATATTTTTAATAGTTTTTTCCTTATTTTTTTCTTTGCCGGTCGTTATGTATCATCAATCTATTTAACAGTGTAATATTTGTCCAAGGCCTATTCCCAAATTGGATATTAATGATAATAACAACATACTAATTGAATTGTAATTAACAACAAAACGAAAACTCCTGTCCACCGACATACTGAAAGTTATACTTCTGTCTCAAGCTCGAAGTACGTGATCAATCACACATTTTACTTGAAGCGTTTGTACATTTTCTCCAGTTTACCAAAGGTGTATTTTTCGCATGATATATTATGTTCCTCTCTCGCTCTTTCTTGTACTTGAATTGAATTACATAATATAGATACACTTATCGCGTACCATAACTGTCTCCGACCTCGGAGTACTAGATTCTTTATCCCGATGAAATATTTCCCCTATTAAATATTTTAAGCCGTGGAAAAAAAATGGTTTTTGCACTTGAACGCCAACCCTTTGTGCAATGGACATCCTGTACTGGTTCATAAGCCCCGGATTACACACACATATATATATATATATATATATATTTATATATATATATGTATGTAGCAATTAAAAACATTTAATGAACCTTGAACCTTTTTTTTTTTTTATTCGTCAGTGTAATAACCTGACAAACTAGTGCTGGACAAAAATGTAGAAATGCCTGTCTTCCTTTGACTGTACTTATTGGAATATCGTTAACAGAGAAATTCAAATGACGGGAACTTAAATAAAACAACGGAACGACGTCGAGCACCTTTCACGTTGTAATTAATTAATAACGGTCGGCTGTGTGGTAAAGTTTTATGTTTATAACAGTTTTATTTTTTTAACGCTGCGATCAAAATATTTTTATATTATTTTCAGTTCGCGTAAAATAGACCCATAAGATTGCCAAATGTGTTGGATTCAGGCAATTTTCATATGCGAAATCAAATCATTATAAAATGTTAACATATAATTATATTCTATAATGTTCAGCAATTTTTTTTTTTATATCATACATTGTTTTATTGTTTAAAAAGCTCTCAATCGTAGGGTTTTTATATCGCGCCAACTTCTAGAAACCTGTGCGGATTGTAAAATATAAAACAAACAAGAGAAATCTACGTTCAAAAAAACGTGTACATGTATATATAAATATTTATCACGAACCAAATGTTCTACGTCGAAAATTCGATCTATGAAATAACAACTTTTATAAAATCCAAAACACAAAGACAAATACTCCATCTAAGACCACTTCATTCGACTTACTTTGCATAATTATACCTGCCTGCAACTATTCCTAGAAACCCGAATGGTGGACTAAAACCCTCGTGTGGGTTTGCTTCCAAAATAAATTGTCATCATTTATGGAAAAGAAAATGTATTTTTACATAAAAATAATGTAGTACATTTTAATTTATAGTGTCGTTGGCGGGGGACTTCCTTAAAAAATGGTGATGACTCAAATGCACTAATATAATAGTATTATACTGGGAGATGGGGAATATAATACGAAATCATGTGTATAATCTTAAAACTAAAGACTTAAACATAACACAAAAAATATTTTCAATAAGAATTAGAGTTCAATCATCTATGAATAATTGTGTTTCTGCCAAATACATCCATAATTTATGATGTATAATAATATCGAACCGCTAGTGTTATTACAATAACTAGTTTTGGTATGACTCATTTATATTTTATTTCTGATAAAAAATGGCTAGGATTGACTTAGGTTAATATTATCAAGTTGAAAATCGTTCAACACGGTTGCAATATAAATGCATTAAGTCGAAGGTGTGTTATAATGAAATGTTTAAATGTATGAATTGTAACGATTGGATTTCGAGAGTTTTATTTTCAAAATCATAACTAAAACTGTTGTGTATGATATACCAACCTCTTCTAAAGTGATAAAGTATGTTTTCAGAAAAAAATTAAATCCCCATATCGAATCGAGAGTGCGTATAACGTTATTCATTTTAAGTGGTTACTTAAATTAACGGCATACTTTCAAAATATGTATAAAAGCTATACGTACAGAATACATACGATATACCTGTATATCTATACACCTTTTTTTAAGCATAGAACATACTTTAGCCTTGGCCTCCCAGCTCGAAATCAACTTAAAAAATCGACACACTTTTTTAAAATATACATTTTATCCGTATTACGTACAAAAAGTACTGTAATTATTTTGCAATCAACGAAGTAGAAATAATATTATTGTGTATTGTTTATTTTGTGTTTTTTTAAACTATTTCCTGGCATAGAACATTGTACATCGTATATAATTAATTAGGTTCCTTATTACATTTCAATACATTTGTATTAGACTATACATATTATAGGCATAGTTTACCAAGGAAGTTATATTTTTACCTTGTACTAAAACTTATGACTTAAGCTAAAATAACCGATCATGTACAATATTATTACAATATTTAGCAAGTGTAGTTCAGACTATATTATATAGAAACAATTTTTTTTAAAGCATGACAACAAAACGATGCTTGTTTCTATAAAATCAAACACTAATGTAAATTGGAACACATGATATTGGATTACTCGTAGTCCGGGATTAATAAAAAAATTGGATTACATTTATTTCAGCAATATTATTGATAACGAATTATTTGTTTTTTTCCCCATCTAAATGAAATACTTTAAGAAACTTTCATGAAATATTTCAAATAAATTAATTTTAAGAAATGTATAAACCCTATTTTATCTATATACCGTTTCTATATTATTGACAAACTAAAAAAAACATTTACTGATTGTAACAATATTATGAATGGTTTTTTCGTTCATTGGAAAATGGTTCATTAGATTCAAGAATGATTTTTTTAAGAAACATTGGATTTGAACTAATGAAACCTCGATCATGTCTACCAAGATGTTCAAGAACATCAAGCTTCTACAGCACATGCAAAATTAAAAAAAAAAAATAAACCTCATATTTTCATTAGTACGGTAATTTATATAAATACTAGTGTATGAGTATTTTAATAAAATACTACAATACTGTTGTACAAATAAAGTTATTTAAAATGCAAATATTTACACTGAAGACTGATATTAAGTATAAAACTTGAATTAGATTTGTATCTAATATAAATTAAACATATTTTTGGAATTACCAAAAAATCTTCTTATTCTCCTAATAATATTTATGCGCATTTAATATGTGTATTCGAATAATTTATGTGCGGACATCATTGTAATAGAAAGGAGTAAAGACTGTGCTCTCATTCTGGACCCGACAATTCGTTGGGAAACAAATGACTCACAGCAAGGTAATAAAGTAGATTAAGAAAAGAAAAGTATCTATGAACCGTGCATTCCATGGCTTCACCAACAATATGGAATCACAAGTTGGGAAGTATTTGGACTTTGGTTTGGAGCTCGGGGTACAGCCTCAGGATTCTTAAAATCATTCTTCCGATCATATAACCTTGCTACAGATGACCTTATCCAAATATGCTTATCTATTTCGAAAGACACGTTCAGCGTACATGATAAATTGCCACTTGTATTCATATCAAGAAGTTTGTTTTACTGTGTATACATTTTTTTATAAATATTTTATTGATTGTTAAATTTGTCATTTATGTATTTGTACTATAAATTTAGTAGTGTTTATTTGTGTTGTGAAATTGAAATTGTCCTATGTATTTGTTTATTGAGTAATATGCTGTGTCATTTGGCAACCCGCATAGTGGGCAGCTCGCTTTGTATTTTAATTAAATAAAAGTTGTTTCTCTCTTTAAAAGTTTAATTAAATATTGAAACGTATGAACAATATTTATACAAATTATAATATTCCCAAACGATTCCCGGTCTTAGTAATATTCCGGGAAATTTCCTGTGGGAAATTAATGAATTTCCGATTTATTTTTGCTAATTGAAATAAAAACCATAAATCTGACCAAAAAAAAACAAATTTATTACTCTATGCGTTGTGTGCATGGATTTTCTCGTAAAAAACATTTACCTCAAAAGCGGCAATAATTTATATTAGATAAATATTATTATTCGTTAGTAAACAAATCCTAAAGCTATTGAAAACATAAAAACCGCAAACTAAGTTTCCGCGTTTAAAATGATGGTTTAAGCTACATACATAAATATAACGACCCATATAATATTAATCAGTTTTTTAATTCTAATTAAAATGTCTGTATTAAACTAAAGTCAACGGTACGATTTATACCGTTTTGATAGTGTAAACAAAAGACAAATTACTGTTAGACACACATTTTTTCCAACATTAGGAGAACTATTGTATTTATTATACACCATCATCAAGCTTAACGGGCTTTTAAGGCCCAACGCTACCATCATGAGATGATGGTTTCTTTATACATACATTATATTTTTATTTTTTTTTTGTTATTGGTAAACTAGTTGTGTTTTGGCCATATGTTCTTTTATTATTTGCGTTACTCGAATGTTTGAACTTGCTTGCATGATAGTACTACAATATTTTGTTATAGACATTATAGCAAATACAAACTGTATATAAAAACCAATAATAATACTCAAAAACATATTTTTTCACCTACGTATGTCTTGTGCTCTAGTTACACATTCGCGATACCTTTTGTAACATCAGGATTCTACCGTGCAAGAAAATAGTTCAACATTTGAATACACAAACGACAAAACAAAATAAGTTAAAAAAACACATGTTTTCAATAAACAACAAACCATAACATTTCAAATGATAATGTTTCTATATTTGTAATGAAGGCAACTTATACAAATGTTAAATATGGTAAAATATAAAAGTATATGTTAGGAACCAACAGATGTGTGTGTTTAGTATGACCACTGTTAATATGGAAAACTTGTTTTTTCGATAAAAAAAACATTTATACAAGTATACAAAAATAACATGTGTTGAAAAATATTTCATATTATATTGTAAGAAAACGTATCATTAACGTATGCTTTTGTGTAAACAAAAGATTTAACTAAAATATTGAAAAAAATCCGAACTATAAAACATTTTTAAACTATAAACTTATATTTTTAAACTCTATACTATTTTTAAAGGTAAACGAGTTTAAAAGTTAGGATGGGTGAAGGATACGAATAGGGGCAAGGGAAGTGCGCGCAGATAAAAATAATACTACACTCTACCTTTCCTCCTACCCAAACCTTGAAACTTCAATAACATCAAAAATCATTTTTCAAAACTGGTTATTGAGTTGGGAGTTGGGATAATATCATAGGTCTATATTGGCTTCAAAAGGCTACTGTAAAGAAGAAGCTTATTTTTTACTGGAATTTTTGAGTGTAGTATAGTATTTTTTAAATTTTTTTTTTTAGTCTACGACCTGTTAGGTCGGTTTGGACAACTTTTGCTCTACTTGAGACAATAGTTGCCATCCTGGGAAAGGGTTTATGGTGTGGTGGTTTCCCGTTGTCTTCCGAACCAGTCGGGTGGCCATATCTCTCTCCAGACGGTTGCCCGCCCAGTAGAGAAACGGCCAGCGACCGAGATTCGAACCACGGCTAGTGCGCAGAAACACTGCCACGGTAACCCTCTCGGCCAATATATTTTTTTAAATATATCGAACTGATAATTATGTTTAAGTTAGTAGATTTAATAAATATAACATAGTAAAATATACTATATTATAATACATTATAGTTGTATTAACCAGTTTACTAAAAAATGCACACAGGTCCACGGGTAACCCTTGCTTTTCTCTAACTGATTATAATACAACTTTATTATTTAAAAACAAAAGGGTGTATAATTTTATTTTTATTGAACTATTCATTAGACATTATTTCCATTCAATCGTTATTTATTCGGCTCATAGGGTACAAGGGGTTATACAATATTTTATCCACTAAGATTCTCTCAGTTAACGAAGTACATTCTTCGGTGTCAGATGATTAAAAAAGGGAAGAGTAAAAGTAACTGATTTTATTAAATATTATTATACAGTTTATGTTATCGATTGTGGATCGGAATAATATCCTAGTCAAAAATAATAACGAACAAGTCAATATTTTCAAATCATTGTTTTTTTCATCGATGAAAACAACAAAATAACAAATTGTTGTAAAACAAATAGCATAATATAATAATGCACGTGTCGCTAAAATTTATTGCTAAAACCTTTATTGCTTATTCGGATATTTGCAATACGTACAAATTATATGTGGCAAAATATAGTGTTTTGCTAATAAATAAAGTAATAACAATTAATTAATTTCATGATTGATAAATATCCATAATTAAAAATGAGATTTTATTTTTACAAAGAGGGTTTTCGTATCAAATGTTTACATAAATACAAAATTCCTAAATTTTTAAAATACTGTTCATATGTTTTAGTTGCAACTTGCAAAAACTTCATATTTCTCGTTGTATATGTTATTATTTTAAATTCGTATTCTAAAGAAGGAAACTATGGTTGGCTATAAGATGGTAAACATGTTTTATTTCTTGGCATCTGTAAATAATCCAAACAATATAACACACTAAAAAATAGGCACGATTAAACATTAAGAATATTTTTGTTCTAAAAGTTTCCTATACAAATATTAATAAAGCTATATGAATTATTTGACAATAAAAACAAATATTGTAAAAAAAACTAATTAGTCATAAAACAAAATATTATAGAACGCAAGAATCATTTATGTTTTAGATTTATTCTTGTAAAGTCTTCTATAAAAATAATAATTCTATAAGAATTTTTTAGTTTTCTTAGTACTAAAATTAAAACAAAAATGAACATTAAGTTCATTTTTGTATTATGCCTAACTTATTACTTACCAATGGTAAATTTGCTGAATTCGGTAAATTATATCAACATAACGGTAATTTTATTTTATTTTTAATAATTTCTGCATACTAACAAGTTATTATTTTTTATATTAATATTAAGTAATTTTTTTAAATATTAGTTTATAATATACCAGACCATTTAGTAAACTAAACGTTAAGACCCATCTTTGTGAAATATCTTAAAGAAATTGGTAGCGTAAAAATTATTTTTTTACTATTTAAATCTATCAAACACTAAGACTAACCATTTTCTAGGGTAGGATTTTTTTTTTAATATTTCGATTATCAATGACGAGTTTTGAATAAATACTTGTATAGGGTTGTAGCAAAATCTTATTCGAATAATTATTTTTACAATTTATTCGAATAAAAATGTACTCGAGTAATTTTTTTAAAAATTTATTTGAAAATAATTTCTCCGCAATTTATTCGAATAGTTTGTTTAAATATTATTTAAATAGTAATACACATATATTATGTTAAGAGTAAGAATAAATGCATAAAAATAATTTTGAAGAAAGAAACCATTTATTAGTGACACTTCCCGTGATTTTAAATTAGAGATATAATGACGCATAACTCTTACGGATATGTGGTAAAACTAATTTTTTTTTTTAAATTAAAATGAAACAAATTTTTTTTTCTACTTTATTGAATTTTGTTTCCAAAAAAAAAAATGATTAGTCTACCGAATTATTTAGAAACAAACACTATTTAATACATTTTCCTTGAATATATTATAAAAATCGATTTCTTGCAGTATTATTTTTATGATAGTTATTAAAAAACATATTTATTTTATTTTAGTTCTCTTTCATTTTCTGTAAATTTTACTACCTGTTCAATGTTCTTTTTATAACTTTTACTACAAGAGTAATATTAGTTTATCAAAGTTATTCAAACATAGATATATGTATATATCTACGTTATATATGTATATATAAGAATCATTTGTTATATTATTTTATTACATTTTTTAGGAAATAGAAATGTTATGGGACTCGATAAATGACGGTTTTGACGATTATATTTTCTACAGTGACTTTTTAAGAAATGGTACGGACGAAGAAATGAGTGATCTCGTGGAAGTTTTAAAAAAATACGGATCCCCGTTGAAGGCCAGTAAAGGTAATTTTGGTGCAATTTTGTAACGAATTTAATACTCTAGTAGTAAAATATATTAAGCATGTTATGTGAGTATTAATTATGTATATTATATAAAAGTATACAATAATATGCTTTACCTCGGTAAACTAAACCGATGTAAAACCCTTTATATTGTAAAAAGAAATAAATATTTTATTTTATTTTATTGTTCGTATGATGCGGTTTATAGGTGAAGATGAGTACACAATGTTTTTATAATTTAATAAATAAACAACAGTAACCTTTGTGATAGTTGATTAAAATACATGCTCATAAACTTATAACGATTTAAAAAAACATTTGTATATTTTTTTTTATAAAAATTGTATTAATTTTTTTGTTGTAATGTTATTGTTCTTAGGTGAAGTTCAATACAAAATGAACTTCAATGACTTTAAGACTGCCGTATATGAGGGTCATATAGCAAGATGGCATAATAAGGTAATGCTTTAATTATTATAGTTTTTCTCAAAATGTATAGACTGTACACAACAGTTATTATCGGTGTACTGTTTGATTAAGCGGTATAAATATTCATCATTTCAGTCAACGGTTACTATCATTAGGGTTATTATGGATTAAACAACAACACGAATTTGACAAATAGATCGAAACAAAACGAATAATAAATAATTATAATTGTTAAGGGAAAATTCACTTGAAAGCTTGAAATTAGTATTAGTGTTTATTGTTTTATTTTAAATAAAATTAAATAGGTAAAATGTAGTTAAATTATATAAGAAATATTTCATTTTGACGTTTTACCCATTTGTGTAAAATGTGACTGTTCAAACTGGGTTTATATAAACATTTTTTAGGCGATGCTTGCTGAATTTAAAGAAATGATCCCAGACAATGTGAACAGAGATTATGTTATCACCGAAGATATGAATAAACATTATGGATTCATAATGTCTGCATCTAAAATCAATGCAATTATAAAAAAATACGGAAAACTGCATGGTAAATATGATTTTTAATACCTGCATTTGTTAATCTTGAAATCGTGTTTTAGGTGTACACAAGTAATAGCTAAGAATATAGTGGTTTTGTTTGCATCATATTACTATTTTATTGGGAATATTATTTTATCTTAATCTAATCTAACCTAACGGATCAATAATCAATAACCTTTGCTTGCAACTTATTATAAATTGCATCATTGTGTTTACATTTGATAGTTATTCAATATTTCATTAATATCTCGCACGATTTCTGTAGCTATGTTTTTTTTTCTGCTGTACGTGATCCATCGTACGAACCGCTAAAATATAAATAATTTAAATACTATTATTTGCCTATACAGGGTGAATTTTTTTATCATGGGCCACTCAATATTTCAAAGGGTTTAATAAGAATGAGATATGTGTGTGGTCCATGATAAAAGAATCATCCTGTATACATAAAATATTAACCATGCAGAATATTGTCGAAACCATAACTATGTAAGCCGATAGCCTTTAAAGTTTAGGATTACAATAAAAAATTGTAAAAAGTATAGAAAAAAATGTTTATAGCCACTGTTCATGGGCAAGTATTTCAGGATATATTTCTTAAACATTAATTATACTTCGGTGTTTGGGCTGTGTTGTAAAAAAATAAAACAAGTATTTTGTATTATTAATTTTATTTTTGTCGTATTGGTGAACTTTAGACGGAGAACACCGATTAGAATTCTCTGACTTTAAAATAGCATTAAACAGAAGTCTTCTGCCAGAACTGCCGAGTGATAAAATTGCGGTAAATAAACTTTATTGTTAAAATTTGTTTTATATCGAATTTGTATGTTAAAAAAAATTTTCTAGGCGATGTACACAGCATTTAAAGCGTTAAGCTCACCAAATGATTTTATCATCCATAACGACTTAGTTAGGGTATACGGAGGAAGAATTCCTGAAGCCACACTCAAAAATATTGTAAATAAATACGGAAGAGTGTATTGTGTTGTGCTTGAAAAAAATCAGGGCAACGATAAATGTGCTTGTAAATATAATTTTTAATAACTAATTTAAAAATCATCTAAGGTGTACCTACAGGTAGTTTTAACTTAAAAGACTGTGTTTTATACAGTATAGTTTTATTGTTTGATTTTATTTATTATTTTAACCTGATATAATTACTTTTCACAACCCAATATTACCTAATCAGTTAAAAAACCAACTTTAATTTCAAACTAAGCTCAGTTTCATTAATTTCGGTTACCCTTAGACGATCTGGTCATTACTAAAACATCGCGTGATCCATTACTGGATTTCTTTGAACGTCCTATTCTATTTTGACTTTAAACACTTGGAAAGTCTTCAATAATTGTCGACTTAGTCGATTAAAAATATATATTTTAGCGATGAATTCGTTTATACGCACAAGAGTTTATTAAGTGTGATTAAAATACTATTAAAAATGTCCAATTGAAAAAATCTTAATCTATGCTTAAGCGATTTTATATTTCAAATAATTCAATTCGCTAGTTTTTTAAAATATATTAAGGGATAATAAACAAATTTAAAATTTAAAGATGTACAAAAAAAAAAAAAAATTGGTGATATGAAAAGTTATTAAGCGTAATCATAGATAATATTTTCCTATATTTTCAATTAAAATTTAGTAAATTTAGTTTTTAAATGTTAAAGTAAATTTGATGCTTTTAATTAAAGGCTTATATTATTTAAAAAAAATTCACGTTTAAACGGTATGTGGCTTAGAAATTTCACTATACTTATCAACTTTTTTATACTTAGCTTTTTAGGCTATATTGAAAAACATATATTTATTTTAAGTAATTTATATATTTAATATTGTTATGCTATGATTTTCAGTAAAACAACAACGATTATACTTCGAAGACTATAAAAATGCCTTGAACAGTGGTGGGCTTGCAGTGTTGAATGATGAAAACAAAAAACAGATGGTGAGGAATCTTTTAGTAAACTTTATTAGTCTAAAAACATGTATATTTATAATTATATATATATATATATAATATATTAATTTTCATATAATATACTATATTATCTTATGTTTAACATACCTAGAGCTATCCAATGGTGAATCCCATAGGTCTAGAGGTAATTAATTAATTTTATAACATACTGACATACTTGGTTTTTATAACATGATAAAAAAAAATTATAAATTACACTTAGTATTATTGTGTTACTATTTTTAGGAGTTAGAACTTCTGTGGGAAGCGTTAAGTCTTAACAATGACTATTTCACCTACTATGACTTGATTGCGACTTATGGAGACGACAACCCAGCAGAACTTATGGCCGTAATGGAACAATACGGATTGATATATGAAAACAATAAAGGTAGATATGAAGCAATATTTTAACACTCATAAACTCTAAAAGAAACATCATATAAATATGTATTATGAAATTAACGAACCGAATCTAAAAAAAAAAAATGATGAAGCTTACTACACACTGACTATGTGTAAAAAAAAAATGTAAATCAGTTGTGTACAATAAATAAACAATAGTATGCTTTACTGCTTTATGATAGTTGATTAAAATACACACTCATAAACTCTAGAATTTTATATCAATCTAAAAAAAGAAAATTGTGTATTTTTTTAAAAAATGTATTCTGTTTTTTGTTGTAAATTGTAATAATATGGTCTTTAGGTGAAGGTGAATACAGAATGTATTTTGAAGATTTTTTAAGGGCCATAAATAATGGCCACATACATAGATGGTCTTATGAGGTAATGATATAATTATTATAGTGTTTCTCAATATGTATGGACTGCACACTACAGTTTTTATCAGTAGGTATAATATGTACTGTTAGATTTAACGGTATAACTATTCTTCATTTCACACAACAGTTATTATTATTAGGGTCATATTGGATTATAAACAACAACATGAATCTGACATAGATTAATGCAAATCAAATAATAATAAATAAGAATTATTAAAGAATAATTAGACCCTTAAAATTCACTTAATTCTTAAACCACAGTTTAAATGAGTCTTAATATTTTTTTTTATTTCTTGCAAAATTACATAAAATAAAGTTGGAATATAGTATAAGATACATTGGATTTTAAAGTTTTCTTCTTAATAAATATTCCTATTAAAATGTGTTTTATTTAAATTGTTTTTAAAAATAATGTTTAGGTGATGAATAGGATATTTACAGGAATAATCCCAAAACATAAACACAGAAGATATATTATCAATTACGACATGGTTAAACATTATGGAAATAATAAACCACATTATCTCGAAGAAATCATCAGAAATTATCAAGAAATGAATAGTAAATATTATTTTTAATTCTGTTTACTATAAATGTTGACTTAGATTATTATAAACATGAATTCGATGGTACACATAATAGTTTATACGAAGTCAGTGACAATTTATTTCTAAAAAAGTTCCATTACAAATTAGTAATTTTACTCATAACAGTATAATTGATTAAAATACAAATAAAAACTTGACTTTTAAATTTTTCTTATAAATCAAAATACATTTTATAAATAGTCTGGAAAAGTAAGAGAATGACCAAAGCATCCCTCGTCATGGTTTTTTTTTTTTTTGCCATTCTAGAAGTCTGCCATTAATGTCGATTTCGACTATTAAAAATATGTTTTTAAACAGTAGACTCAGTGACGCAAATTATAGTTTAAACATTAATTCTAAAAAAATTTCATAAAAATGTTATAAAAATAGCTTTCGGAGACGAGTATAATTATTATAATAAAACATTTTGTTTTAACTATATAAAAAATGTTCAAAACATTTCCCTTCTTCGTTGTTTAAGCTGTGTTTTGAACAAACTAACTAATTCGATATTTTCTTAATTTAATGTAATTTATGAATATTATTGGTAATTTTCAGATGGACAATACCAGTTACCATTCAATAGTTATAGAAAAGCTATGGACATTGGTCATTTTCCTAAACCTAAATATTATCACACAATTGGAGTAATTAAATGATGCTCTTTAATTTGTCTTATGCCAGTTTTGTTTAAGTTAAAAGATCATTTTTAGGAGCTGTACGGCGTATTTAGGGATATGATCCCAGGACAAGATATCACAATATGTAATCTTGGCTCTAGCGACTTGATAAAATACTATGGAACAAGAATTCCTGCAACCAAAATCGAAACCGTTGTACAACAATTTGGCAAATGGGACGGTAAATATATATTTTTAAAAACTACATTAAAAACCGTAAATTCTATTTGCTGTCTCAGCCCTATACTGATTCAATAGTTATGGGTATAATAATACTATTGATTATTATAAATTTTACTTGCAACACAAGCACAGCGTTATCATTTTGCTTACTTTGGATAGTTATTTACTACTTGATCCATTATAACTATGAACTGTAATGTGATTCAATTTTGAATTTCGCCCCTTAGAAAGTCTACTATCAATGTCGATTTAGACCATTTCATATAATAGATCGCAGTTACATAAACTATGCCCATTTACGTTTTTTAACTTAAAAACAAATTTATGTTTACCACAACACCACAATGCAAAATAAATTAATATGATTTTCTTTGAATAAAATGTAATCTATAACGATGTTGACATGTTAGCCACTGGCCTTTGATGTCGAGTGCTAATATTAAAATGAACAAAAAAATGTATGTTAAATATATTATAGTAAACATGTTTAAAACTATACACGGCCAAACCATTCGAGTTTTTTTTTATATATTTTATATTTTGTGTTGTATTAATCAATTTAATATTTATTTAATATTATTTTTAGTAATTTGTACACTTTTATTTTAGTCGATCAACATAAATTATCATTCTCCGACATAAGAAGAGCCTGGGACAGTGGCGAATTACCACGACCATTGACTGGTGAAAATGAGATTTGGGAGGTAATAAAGTAGCTTTCAATAAACTTTATTAGTAGGAAAGAATTTAAATATAAAAAATGTCTATAATATCTACAATATCTACATTACTTTATTATGTTCATTTGGTCAAATAATTGTTATTTAATTGGTATCATAAAATACATTATTTAAATTGTGTACTTTTTTTTTGAACTAATATTTTACTTGCGGAAGTTAATTTTTTTTTTTACTTTTTGTTCAATGTTCAATAACAAAGTTTAAATGTGCTTATAGTTTTTTTTTAAAAAAATCTCGTCGGCCATTATAATTATTTATTACTATTTTTAGGAAATAGAAACACTATTCATCGCTATAAGTGGCAATGATGGTTATATTAACTACTATGATTTCTCAAGAAATTATGAAGAAGAAGACATGAATGATCTCAAGAGCGTATTAGAAACTTACGGTTTCCCAGATGAAAATAGTGAAGGTAACAGTGATGCAATTTTTTAACCACTTAGTTGCTCTGAATGTAACATTATAATTGATATATGTGCTATAACGAAATTAATCTAAACAAAATATTAATTATGTTTATAAAACACAACTCACAAGTAATCTTTGCGACAGTTAACAATTTTTTTTGGTTATAAACTCTAAAAGTTTATATCAATAAAAAAAAAAACTACAGCCGAATTTTTTCTTCCTAATTCCTGAAACATTATCAACTAAAAGGACCTTTTAGTTCAAAAGTTAAGGACCTTCTAAAATTATGGCTAAAAAGATAAAATACAAAAAAAATTGTTTGTGTGGGGGGGGGGAGGTAAACATGGTAAATTTAAGACTATTGACGTATCACTATGTCAGTGGCATATTAAATAAATATTCCTTATAAATTTCTAACTCGATTACGACCCTTTTTTCAAAATTATAGCCAGCATAAGTTGTAATTTTAAAACTCGAATAGTTTTTTTTTTTTGATTTTCCCAATTTTTAAATTACAGGAATGAACATTTTAAACTTTTGCCCCACCCACCCCAAGTACAAACTAGATACAAATTTTAATTTAAAGAGTTGGTACTCGAAGAAATTGGTCCAGTATTAAAAAAATTACAGCTTATACAGAAACAAAGTACATTTTCTTTGGTTTTTTGTTATGACGTTATGGTTTTTTTAGGTGGAGATGAGTTAAGAATGGATCTAGACGATTTTAGAAAAGCCGCGTCTGAAGGACGCATACCAAGATGGCATAGACTGGTAATGTTATAAATAATTATGTACGCTTGAAATTCACTTATAATTCAAAACCAATTTCGAAATTATATAGTTTTTATGGTATTTATTAAGATAATGATTTTGTATGTGCACGAAAGTTATTATGGTGGAATACAGTGGTATATAGTATTATGGTGGTTTATTATACAAACTTCGACTAATATTACTTAATAAAATCTTATAAAATTCAAATGTTCACTGATTATTTTGTTCTTGTTGATATAAATAATATTTAGTATTATGTGTTAATCATACATTATTGCAAATTAATCGAAAACAATTTATTTTTGTTAGTATAGAATGAATCTTAATATTAATTATTGTTAATTATTAAATTATATAAAATGTGATTCAATTAAATTGTAAGCATTGGTTTACGTGTATAAAAATGTATACTTAAAAAATGGCGCTGCTAAACTTCAAAAAAAAAAAACATTTTTAGGAGATAAATACTGTGTTTGCGGAAATAGCCATGGACGAAAATAAAAAATATGTTACCTACAGCGACATGGCTAAATACTACGGAACAAGTATTCCGGCAATTATACTAGTAAATATTATAAAATCGTACGGAAACTTGGATGGTAAGTATGATTTTTAAGAATTGCATTTAATAAACGTAAATTCTTCGTTTCATTATAATATAAGTATACTGACACATAAATTAATTTATCATTTTTAACAACCAGTTACATTAAAATTAATTACAAATTGGGTTAGGCCGTATTGTGTATTAAATAATCGATTATAATGTAACCTCGACAGCAAAATAGAATAATTGTAAATACTATAATTTTTTGTTTTTGTCCTCTTATTCATCAAGTATTCAAATAAAAGCACTGTTAAAAATCAAGTCATTTTAAATTATAAAACAATAGCTTTCGACGACAAAACTTATTCATTTTTTTATACTTTGTTGATTGGGCTGTGTTGTAAAAAAATAAAACATGTATTTTATTTTATTAATTTTATTTATGTCTTATTGGTGGATTTCAGATGGAGAATACCGATTAGATATCTTAAACCTTACAACACTCTTAAACATAGGATATCTGCCAGAACTACTGAGTGATAAAATTGCGGTAAATAAATGTGGCTTTTATGTTATTTGTATTTGTAAATCTCTATAAGTTTAAACAAAAATGTTTAGACGATTTATGAAATGTTTGAAGACATGATCCCTGAAGAAGAGGAAAGAGTCTTTGTTACCAAAGATGACTTGACTAAATGTTACGGAACAAAACTTTCTGAAACTCAAATCGAAAATATTATGAAACCCTACGAAAAACCGAATTGTAATTATGATATTTATTACCTTCATTTAAATTATCGTTAAACCATCTACCTAATCAATTACCTATTTTATTCAGTTTATTTTTTAAACCTAATGCATCCCAACCTAACCGATAAATAATAATTAATTTTACTCGAAACACAAGCTTAGTGTTATTGATTGTGTTTCTTTTGGATGATAATTAAATATTTCATTAGTACTCCACACGTCTATTGTGAGTCCTTCATTGAAGTAGATTAAATATACTCAAATGTATTCAAATGTCTAATGTCGTACATCAACCATTGCAATTCTATAAACCGATATTTTTCTTGGTCTTTTGACACTCGGAAAGTCTACCGTAAATGCAAATGTGTTTTTATTTTAAGTAACTTTTGCATCATTTATGTTATGTTGTTGATTTTCAGATGGAGAAAAACGAATGTACTTTTGTGACTTTAAAAAAGCTTTGATTGAAGGTGAACTTCCAAAGCCGTCGTTTGTTGAACGTGGAATTTTAGCCTGACTCTGATACGAAGTTGAATAGAAAAACCATTTACTGATGTTCATTATTGTTAAATAATTATGTTAAAAATAATTAATCATTTAGTCGCTATAGTAGTATAAAATAATATATTAATGTACAGTGCAACCTAAATTTTAAATAAAAACTGCTATTCATTCTATTCAATACAAATGAAAATAGTATTTGTTTTTTTTCCTAAACGACCTTGCAATTTTAGTTCAATTAAAAACACAATGTGAGAAAGATTCTAAGACTCCATGGGGCTCAGACCTCTGCTAAAGCCAAAAGAGGATTCTTGAAAAGATATTGTTTACTTTTACATGTAGGTGTACACCGCTGTACATGTCAAGACGGGTTCTTAGTATAATATACATCACAATTTTACAGGGTGCTTAGGAGAGGACAATGAGTCGAAATGCCAAAGGAGAAGAGTATGTATAGCGATAGAGATGACGTGTAATGACGGGATTAGGGCCTTTGAACATAATGAGTGGGACAGAATAATGGGTATCAAATTAGATTTTAGCAAGTGCTTGCAGCAAGTTTGAGAGGAAAGATACCGAAAAGGCTATAAGTGGTAAAAGTTTAAAAAATATCGCAGGATTATTCCTTAGCTGTAAAGGGCATACCTATTCAAGGGGTTTGATACCGAATTATGCTTCTTTCAATTGAACGTTTGAGGAAGAGGTATATGAAGGGTAGCAGTTCACCGGAAGCACTTTATTACAAAAAGGATTAAACCCGGATTACCAGAATGAAACCAGATTAGAGAGAATGTGGAGCGAGACACACAGTTTTTGAATTTGTTTGCTGTGCGCCTAAGGTCATAAAGTAAGGACCAAGGATTAAAAGATAAGCGGAAAGAATGTCAAGCGTTTCTTTTAGCTGGTTTAGTAGTACGGTTCGTAAAATTCCCTGTACGTGTTAATGCCCTTTGATACTTTGCTGTTCGGACTGTGCTGTCAAACTCTAAAACATTTTAATATTAGTTTCAAATCAAATTATTGTTGGCAAAGCTGCTTTGGTTCAATTACAAAACAAAAACGAAAAAAAAAAAATCATTAATACAATTTACAAGCGAGTAATACACAATTACTTTAACAATTATTGTTAAGCCATGCGAGTACATGATAAACTCAGGTGCTAGGTCCAAGCCCTCTAAAATTAAAACCGGGAAAATTTTACTGTTAAAACAGTGTCTATTATGGTAAAGCCTCCGTCGTTAAATGTATTAATTAGTATTCAATTATGTTACTATTCAGACACTTTTATTATTTTTTTTAAATCTGTGATCAAACTTCTGATCTCAATCGAAATGTTTGATGATATTTCATTGGTATATGGCTGTAGATCTATATCCACATCTGGAACACACTGTTAAAATGTACATTTTGTTTATTATGGTTATCCTAGTTTACATAGGACGTTATTGGTTTCTTCTAGTATTGAATGTGGCTAAAGAATGTGTTAAAAGTTGAGAGACTATAAGCTGATAGGGGTTTAAAATAATTATACTGCTTATTTTGTGGCTCGAGAACAATTTTCAGTAGCGATTAACAAAACAAAATTATAACTCGTTGTCAAACACATAACATAATGTTTTTAAAATATTGCTTTATGAAAAAAAATAATAATAAATTACTTTTAAACAAAAGTTATGTTTATAATGAGTTATCTATTTTTTTTGGTTATGAGCTCTTAAGATTATACCAATATTCAACAAAGAAAAAAATTGTATTATTCAAACATTTTGTTTTATTTTTTTATTATGACGTTATGGATCTTAGGGGAGAAAGCATACGTAATTGTTGAAGAAGGTTTTAAAAAGGCTGTTGCTGCCGGCTGCATACAAAGGTGGCATAAAAGGGTAATGCTATAAATAAATATGTAAATTCACTTAAAATCTAAACCAGATTTCAAATTAGCTAACCTTAATTGTATAACTTTTTGATATTTCTGATAATGTTTTCTTTATGTACACAACATTTATGGTAGTGGAATTTTATTATACAACCTTCAACTTATATTAATTATTAACATGATATAAATTTACAATTTTTACGGATTGTTTTGTAATAACATGCATTAATCGTACATTATTACAGATCAATCGAAAATAATTTAGCTTTGTTCGCGTATAATTTACTTCTACTTAAAATTCACATAATATTTAAACCGGATTTAAAATTAATCTTAAAATTTTTTTTGTTATATAAATAATAATGTAAAATGTAGCTCAATTAAAATGTAAACGTTGGATTAGAACGTTGGTTTATATACTTATTATAAAGTACTGCTCAAATTTGTTTTAAAAAAATCATTTTTAGGCGATACGTGATGCAATAAAAAAGAACATAGCCTCAGACAAGAACAGAAGCGACTATATTACCCAAAGCGAAATGACTGAATATTATAAAACACAAAATATGTCAGCTACTCAAGTCGAAGATATTATAAAAGCATACGGAACACAGCAAAGTAAATATAATATTTCAAATCTGCATTTAATTACTACAAATTAGGTTATTTAAATACTGCCTACCTAAAATTATTGGCTGCAAAACTATATATTCATTTTTATTGTTGTGAATACCGTACAATCGATTATAAATTATCCTCGGCAAAAAATAGGATTATTTTAAATACTATAATTTGTTGTTTTTGACTTCTTATTCTTAAAATATTTAAATTATAGTATACTAATATAGTATAGTATAATTATATTATGTACTGTCAAATCTATAGTTAAATATATGTATCCTAATAATTATAAATCTACGATAAAGCTTATCAACTCAATAAAAACTGTCAACATTTTATACTTTGCTGTTTGGGCTGTGTTGTAAAAAAAAAACATGTGTTTTATTTTATTAATTTTGTTTATGTCGTATTGATGAATTTCAGATGGAGAATACCGATTAGATTTCAATGACTTAACAACACTCTTAAACATTGGTTATCTACCAGAACTGCCGGTTGAAAAAATTGCGGTAAATAAATGTGGCTTATGTTATTTTTTTCTATACATTTCTATAAGTTTAAACTTATAGAAAACTTTCATCTTTAGACGATGTATCAAGTATTTATAAAAATAATGGGAGATGACGAAAAACATTTTATTACCGAAGAGGAAATAACTGAATTGTACAAAACAAATCTTTCCGCAGCTCAACTCGAAAAGCTTAAAGAAGACTATGAAAAAAAAGATACTAGTAAATATAATATAATGTATATTACCTTTATTTAAGAATCGTAAAAATGATCTACCTAATCGATTACCGATTTTATTAAGTTTATTATTTAAACCTAATGGATCCCAACGTAACTGATCAATAATAATCAATTTTACTCGTAACACAAGCTTAGTGTTATTGATTGTGTTTCTTTTCGATGATAATTAAATATTTCATTAGTACTCCGCATGAACCACTATTTTTTTTTCTGGTCTTTTGACACTCAGAAAGTCTGTTGTAAATGTAAATGTGTTTTTATATTAAGTAATTTATATATATCATTAATGTTATGTTGGTAATTTACAGGTGGAAATAAACAGTTTTACTTAACCTTTTATGACTTTATAAACGCTTGGACTGATGGTGTACTTTCAAATCCGCCATTAAATTAAATTTAGTCTGACCTTGATACGGGATCGAAATAGAAAAACTCTTTAATGATAACCAATATTATTAAGTTATGATGTTAAAAATAATTAATCATTTAATCGCCATTTAATATAAGCTATAATTTTAATTTAACATATTAAATGTACTGTGCTATTTGAATCTTACATAAAAACTGCAATTCATTCAATTCAATACAAATAAAAATGGTATTTTGTTTTTTTTTTATATATTACCAATGCTTTTATCTTCATAGTCTGTAAGTTACTATAGACTCTAGTATAAACAAAATTTACTGGTCCATAAGAGGATGCCACTCAGACAATTTTTTTTTTTATATTTTAAATTTGTATATATTTGGTACAAACATTGTTAAATTTGTACTAAAACGTATGTGTTCTTTTATCGTTGTAGTAATGAAAAGGCATGACAAATGTCTTATATGTGTAAATGGTTCCAGCATTTGTTTAGTATTTCGTTTTCAACAACTTTTAAAGTTATCTACATACATTTCAATTGCCATTTTTAATTGATTTTTTCAAAATCAAGAAAATAAAACAATATTATATAACGTACATGTTTTTTTTTATCCTGTTATTATAAAATAATTGAAAACAGAAAAAAGAGAACTTTAATGAATTAATAAAAACGAAGCTATTAGAGATATCAACAAAAACTAACGGCATATGATGTATTTTAATGTTTCTATGCGTTTCTTAAATATTACAACTAATAATACAAGTAGAATGGTGTAACAATTTGCTGATTCTTCGCCTTGACGAGAAGGCTTTAAGAAGCGGATGGTTTTTTAAAATGATTATACATTTATGGCTTGTGAATCATAGTCAGCTCCCAGTCAAATAAAAAACAAACGCTATAGTGTTTTAAAATCATTTCTTTAGCATTGTTGAACAAATAAAATAATAAACCTATGTAAAACAAATATTTTACGTCGATAGATACAACTTTGTATTACGCACTGCACGGGCGAAAAAGACAAAACATTAAATCTTGCTAAAACAAATACTTAATATTAATCACACGTGCCTCTAAACTTTATCGGTAACTACTAACTATAATATAAACACCCACGAAAAATTCAAATATTTTTAGTTAAGAACGCTTTTAGTGAAGGTAGATAATACAAAGCGTTCGATTTTTTGGGGGATAAATATCAGTACTTAGAAACATGGCTTATTTCTAAAATATTTTTTTACTGCCTTTGAACCTACTCACAAGCTGGGGGGGGGGGTAGTATAAATTTGATTTTGTTTGTTGAAAAGTTAGATTTTTTGTACATTGTACAATTTACATTTTTTAGTATTCAATGATTATATTTTTTTATTTATCTTTAAATATGTATACTCGTACTTTTAATATTATATCGTCTAATACTTGAATAGACATTTCCATTCAATGTAATAAATACAAAATTATACCAAAATAGTATTTTTCGGTTTTATTCTTATTTGTAAACATCATTACGCGTAAATTTGTGCAACTTACTAGGCGGGCTCTTCATCTTGTGACTGGCTGTGTACGACTCATGGGATCCAAGGAAAAACAACCTTTTAATCAAAGAAAAAAATTGTTTAAAAATGTGCATTACGTCAATACAGATTTTATTACATCAAAATGGCCTTTTTTTTTTAAGTGACATTTTCTGGTATTTTTCCCGTTTATCACCCTCTTCGTGTATATACAAAATAATTTTAGCTCTAGAATATCAAAATTGAACATTGCAGTCGTCGGGTGTCTTCATTTTCCTTTTTTCTTTTTAGATACAAATTAGAGCAACTGAACAATTTAGGGCAACATTGAATTGGTTTCGATATTCTACCGTAAAATTTTATTAAAGGGTTGCACGTAGGCAAATTGTATCAATTTCCTAAATTAAAAATATAATTTATTCTAATAAAATGTATACGTAGTATTTCAGTAGAGTAATGGGAATTCTTCAGGTCAAATAACTGTGGTAATTATTTGATATTTCATAATTATATTCTACGAGATTGCTCACCAAGAACTTTGGTAATGAGTATAGTATGAGAAATAGTTCGTTTTGCTTCGATGCAGAGCTGAGAACTTACTAGTTTACAAGTGGTATGTTTTTTATTTTTTCTGTTATCACTCTGACCGATCCAATACAGATAACTGGATAAACGAAAGTTTCTATGACAAGACTTAGATGATCTACCGGATATCTCTTACTGTGATACCTTTTAAACCGCAAAACTGATTTCTATATATCTTTAATATTGTTACTTTAGTCGCGTAGGTAAGAACATGTTAAAAAAAGCGAGGGATATAAGTGGCTTATAATTTTTAATATTATTGTTCAGTTTGCCCTAGAGCTTGTGGATCATAATCAGCTCCCATCCAAACTAAAAAGTCGATATTATTAAAGGCAACGGAAAGAGCCAAAAATAGACAGTATTCAACGAAAATTGGTTTTTAAATATGTCAACTCATTTAAGGGTAAATAACTATTAAGGTTTTCTAGTCTTACAACTCTATTATTCCATAAGGAATGATTACATTTTATAACAAACAATATATTTTCAACCGGTCGTACACACCGAGAAAGGTAACTTTGCATTTTAGTCTTTATTTGTAAAACAAGCAGTTCCCTTTTAATTACATTTTCGCAACCATAAAAAAAAATCAAATGTAAAACCATACCTTATGTTAATTACGTACAAGTGTACCCTAGATATTTTTTACTTTTTGCACTTTAGAAACACATGGCGATGTGAGCTTTAAGTTTCACTGTTTACATTAATAAAACTATAGTAACCGTCTACAAATTTAATATACTATAACAATAATAATAAATAATAATACGTTTTTTAGATACTTCATCATACCAGATCATAATAAGATGCCTCATAAATTATAAAAAAAAACATGGCGGCGTTTTAAACAATCATTACATTTTTTTGAATCAATGAGAAAACAAAATAATACATTTTTGTTAAACAAAGACTGCAAGTTAATACAGGCGTCCCTCAACTTTGTTCCTGAGACCTTTCTCACGTATGCGATAAATAAAAATATGTTTAACGAATAGCGCTTTTCTATCAAATATGATGATACCAAGAGAATGGCATACCCCTATAAGTAAAAAGTATAAGTTTTCTAACAAAATCAACGGAAACTTCCATTTTCTTGTGTTGTTAGGGTTTTCCCACAACCGCTTAACTAATTTCTTCGTGTTATTGATTTTTAAATTATAATGTTTAGTTCATAATCTGCTCTCAATCAAACACAAAAAAAAAGAACACGTTAATATTTTTTAGTCAGGGTTTTTTTTGCATAGTTGAAAAAACAAAACAATATACATAATATCGTTGTATATTGTTTTATGCTCTGCGTCGATGAAAAAAAAAAGGTTAAATCGTCGCAAAATAAATATCTCATACAAAATATACACTTGTATGTGTCCCCAAACTTTGTGGAAAATCATAACTTTGTTTACTTATTTCAAAAGTAACTCATCATTTTTAATAAACAAATAATACAAAACAAAAAAAATCGCAGTATTGAAATACATAATTATGCCATAATTTGTTTTTGAAGAAGACGAAAAAACCAAAAAACATAGTCTTACGATTAAAACCACGTTTGTTTTAAATAAAGTAATTTATATTTCATCATTTTTAAAAATTACAGTTTTGCATTAAAGTGTTTATTTGAAAGTGATTTTTTTAAGCCGCTGTTGTTTTCAAAGTTATTAATTATTATACAGGTTACGTTATACCTTATGGATCATAATTAATTCTCAGTAAGATACAAAAACAAACATGTTAGTATTTTTAAACTATCATATTTTATCATGTTTTTAATGAAAAAAACCATACAGTAAAACGTTGTAAAAACAAATACCGTACATTTACAAATTTATTTTGCTTTATGTTCTACATCAATGAAAAAAAAAACAATAATTTTAAAACAAATACCCTATATAAATACACTTGTATGTGTTCTAACCACTGTTAAATCTGAACCAACTAAAAAACTGAGTGTTGATGTTGATGAATAATAATATTTTAAATATACTCATCTAGTTAAAAGGTTTATGTAAGATTTAGTAGCTTTTAACAGTGTGTAAAATATATAAATTTAAAAATGTTTATTATTATTATTATTTTATTAAGTGCAACACATCATGTTCAAATGACGAAGTTTATTGACATAAAGGTAATTAAAATGTTTCAACTTAAACTTATGCATATTTGATATTTACAATTTAATTGTAAGTTTTTAATATATATACGTTAAAAATATACCAGAGCGTTAAGTAATCGAAACATTTAACATACAATATGATGTCCCACCTTTTAAAATATACTAGAGACATTAATATTTAAAAAATTTGATTTGTGTAGGGTTTGTAGAACGTTTTCACAATATTTGAAAATAATATTTATATATTTTACCGGCGTAAATATGAAATTTATTTAAACGTTTAATAAACTACACAATATTAAAAATGTGGTTATATTGTTTAAAAACAAATTTATATCATTCAATATTTCAACTTACTTTTATGAAATAGAAATTACATATAGGTACACATTATATACATACACGGTGTGCACATATCTTTTATGAATTTGTATGCTGGGGTGATTATAAAGGTAAATTGAGGGCTTAGTAAAACAAATAAATCTCTTGGACCATTTAAAAAAAAATTATTTTCTATGGCTTACTTCGTATACTAGACCACCGTGTGTCTGTTTCTCAGTACAGTGAAAATCAAAACCATATTAGTAAGTTTGGGGCCTCATAGCTACACACACTTGAACAAACTATTTTTATTAAATCGAAAAACAAAACATAAATTGCTCTTCCTCAAAAAGTTAAAGGTTTAATATTAGTATAATGAATTAATTCGAATTAATTTATTTAAAAAAAAATTATATTGTAAAGTATACAAGTTTTAATAGTGTGTATTCCAAAGACCAGTTTGTAAAACATTTTTATGGAATTATTGAAGTATTATTTATTCATTTTTAACGACGTAAATATGACCTACTTTTGAACATTTGTATAACTAGTAACACAAAACGTAAAAATGTGCTTTCAATATTAGTTTGAAAGAAAAATGTTAAATCACTTATCATAATATTACATTGCAATTTTCAGGAAATAGAAATTCTATGGGACACGATGCGAGGCGACAGTGACTATGTTAACCAAGATAATTTCTGTAGTTATTATAAAGATGAAGACTCAGATGAACTCTTAAACGAAATAAAAACGTACTGCCACAAGTATTCGTCTGAAAGCCAAAGTAATCTTAAATACATTTGTTTTACATCAAATGTGTACTATTCCATAAGTTTGTGTTGTAAAAAACTAAATATTTTATTAACAATTTTATTTTATCTTCCATGTGGAGCATATTTCTCACGTAGGAACTCTATCGATTATAAACCGTATCTGAAAGTTACTTTATTAGGTCAAAAATTCAATAAGTCCACATTTTCACTTAAAAATCTAAAACAACACCCAAAAAATGTGCATCAGCTTATGGTCAGATAATGATGCTGGACATAAGTTAGACCTATAAAGGTGCTATAATGTAAACCTTTTTGTAAAAAAATATGTAATCAAACTTTTTTTTATTAGAGAAAACCAAAAAAGCAATTTACCGTATTTAATTTCCCGGTTGCTATGTGTAAAATATTTAAAAGTTAACATACTAAAAATATTTTCAGTATTCTGTCTATTAGACTGATTACAATCAAACCTAATCGTATCTCTACCCTAATAATAAAAATAAAATTGTAGTTGTGAATGATACACTAAAAACACAATAATTATCATCGTCGTCCTCAGTATGGCATTACCGCATTTTGCTGGCTTTTTAAGTTTCATAATGATGGTATGGTTTCTAGGTGTTGATGAATACAGAATGGGTTTTAACGATTTTACGAAGGCCGCGTCTGAAGGCTGTATACAAAGATGCTCTAAACAGGTGATGCCATATAATCAATATGTTATATTAAAAAATATAAAAAACAAAGTTGTTTCTCTCTCTAATTTAGAATTGTTAATGAAAAAAATCACCTAAGTGCTTAAAAACTCACATGACATTTTGTACTTAATAAAAATGACCATTCAAATTTATTTCATATCAATTTTGAATAAATTTTAAATAAAATGTCTAGGCGATGTATACTTTATTTAAAAATATAATCCCAAACGAAGAAGACAGAGAATATATAATCGACAAAGAAATGATTAAATATTATGCATCAATATTTTTTTCACCTCGACAGCTAAGAAATATTGTAAAAAAATACGGAAAATTGCAAGGTAAATATGATTTTTAATACTTATATTTTGTATGCGTCAAACCATCTTGAGTATACAGATCTCTTCTGCTAAGATTGTGGTTTTTTTTTTTTAATAGCTTTTACCAAAAATGCTCCACACTTATTAATATTAATAAAATTCATAATATTCAGATTGTGGTTTTGCAGTAATGTATATTTATATTATTGGATTTAATATCTAACTTCATCTGAACTATGCTAACCCAACCTATGCTAATCGATCA